ACAATCTCAAATATGATGAAGATCTGGTCAGTCGCACTGGTGCTCCTAAATATGTTTTCATAGTCGCACGCAGTAGTTTTCAGTCGCAAATGCGACTGAAATGGTCGCACTGTAGAGCCCTGCCATCCTAGGGGGGAAACTCAGTGTTTGAAATTGCATTCAGCACAAGCAGTACTGAAATATTTGGTACAAATGTGTGTACCATCAGGGCCGTTTCTAGCCAATTTGACGCCCTAGGCGAAATCCATCCTGTTTAGATATTATCAATGGCTACTTTTTTGTCTTTATCTGTTTTTTGTTCAATTTTTTTGTTGTTGTTTCTTGAAACATTGATTTAAAGTGTCAGTTATTGCATTATTATTTCAGTCAAACCTATAAAACCCCTTTGTTACCCCAAACTACATATAAAAGCTTTATCAGTGGCATAAAAGTAACCAATGCAGCTACTTAATCATTTGCTACTCGTTAACGTCCCCTTTAAATAACGTGACGCTCTGCCCTCTATGACGCTGCTCCCATTAAGCGCTGTTGGAAGTGAATGAATTGATTCAGCATTTCGACACCTCCGTAAGGATGCATTTAACTCGACAAAGCGGTCTAATAAAGGATGTATTGATCTCGTGAATTAGCGAATTTGACTATACAAATTATTTTTTAATTGGATGTTAAAGTTTATACGGGAATATTTCATGACACGCTGATCCTTTAACAATGCATTGGCGCAAAAAACGCACACCTTTTGGACAAATCTGCCACAAATATTTGGACAAATGTGCCACAAAAGTGCCACAAATACTGCCTAAACAAAATACAGATTTTGTGCACTTTATTTACTGTACCAATATTTTAAATTGGCCTTTGAACTTAGCTTTATTGCATAGCAAAAAAAAGTGTTACCTTGCCAAAGCACTGACAGAGCCCACTGATCTAATGGCGTTGTTGAGCGCTCCAAATGCAAACTTTGCATGCAACAATCAGGCAGCAATTGACAGCACTCTGATCTAGTGGCATACAGGCATCGTCAGATTGACAGTACTCTAGCCCAATAATGTTGGGGGATCCAGTGGGGGCGGCAGTCATATTTCAGGGTGACCGTGCCACTCTTTATCACAACCCTGCTAAAAGTGCCAGTACGTGCGCTCATTGGCGCCCCTTCAGCTGGTGGCGCCCTAGGCGACCGCCTAGCTCGCCTATGACTAGAAACGGCCCTGGTTGTCATCGTGTGATTCTTAGCGTGTCTGAGGTCATGGTGCACTTTAGATCCGTGAACTGGTCTGCCAGACTCTCAGGAGAGCAGCATTCATCATAAATAACTGTCCCTTTAAATCGCATGAATTTTTTTGCTTTCGCTTTCTGCTCAAATCATTTCTCCAACGTCCACTTACAGACATGAGGGAGTCTGTCTGGGCGATGCTAGCATGTTTGCAGCATAGCTATATTCAAAGCTATTTCCTGCCCGTTTGCTCAAAGACAAATGACAGGAAGTTGTCCAGTGAGGGCAGTTTGAGTATTAGCTAGCTGACGGTTAGCCTTTAGCCTCTCATTTTCGTTGACAGCAGTAACTACTTGAGTCCTCAAATAGTCATTAAAAGTAAGGAAATGTCATGAAAATGGGCTAGAGGTGGGGAAACCTCCAGTAATCATTCCGCATACAATAAACGCTTAGATTTGAACAAAAATGAGGAGTGGCTTTGACCAGATGCAGTCTGAAGTGAGATGGTGCCATTTCACAACACTGCGTCATTTGTTTTCCCTCCACAAGTTTGGGTAACATGCCCATGTTACTCAGAATTGCTTTTTGGCTCGTTGAGCCCAAGTTTTTGTCCAGTTGAAAACGTTTGCTCCATAGTTGGGCGGTTATTTCATTGAAACGATTGCTGGAGTATTTTGATGAATACCGCATGGCAGAATTTAATTTGCCAGTCATCGAATAGTCTTCCTGTCCTCTTCTCTCTTCTTGTGCTCAAAGTGACACAAAGACTTTTTCCTCCTCCCCCAGCAGCAGTGAAAACACACGTGTGCACTCAACACAAACACAGTGAGTGTACGTAGAATAGTGTGCTAATGATAGATCTGAGGCTCTGACAGATGTTTCTGCCTGTGAAGGAAGGTGGCGCCCTAGGCGACCGCCTAGCTAGCCTATGCCTAGAAACAGTCCTGTGTACCATTACACCCCTAATGTCTACTATTATCCTCACAAAAACTGACTAATCAGCCTTTTCTTTTAGCTACCTGCTAAGTCTCCTCAGACATTAATGTGAAGTCTCTCCTCAGGCCTATGACAAACATGAGAGCATGCTACATGCTCAGAAGAAGAAGACTACAGTAGCTTTACGAGAATGCATTGAGCTCTTTACTACAATGGAGACCCTAGGAGAACACGACCCCTGGTGAGGAGGATGCTCAGATCATTACAGATTGTGACATTTATTGCCCATACTTCCAAGGTCAAGTGTTTTACCAAAGTATTGCCACTTTTAGTGCAGTTTTAATGATTGCTGTGCTCCTCTGAAGGTACTGCCCCACGTGTAAGAAACACCAGCAGGCCACAAAGAAGTTTGACCTATGGTCTCTCCCACGCATTCTGGTCGTGCATCTGAAGCGCTTCTCTTACAACCGCTGCTGGAGAGACAAGCTCGACACAGTCGTAGACTTTCCAATTAGGTAATTCTGTTGCAAGACACATCTATTATATGATATATATATATTTATATTTACAAATATAATTGAATGTGTATTTTTTATTATTAATATTTTTTAAATAAATGTTTTTTAACAAATGTTTAACTCTTAATGCTGTTAATTTTAAATTACATAATATCTTAAAACATCTAATAGTTCTCCAAAGAACATGGGACTTGTCCCTTTAAGGAAGACGCCACTGTGTGTCCTTTTCATGTTAAGTGCTTGTGTAAATTTCCCACCAGATGGTGCCAAAATGTTTCCCTCCACACAGAATACTTTGTCATTGTCTTAGACCCATTTGGGGATGTTACATAATCTGACTTCAGGTGCAAATTTGTGTTCATACATCAGATTTTTTTTTTCATCAAATTAATTTTAGTTATAATGTGACGCATTCATTTATAGAATGCAGAATATTGACACTTCAGATACCAAAAATGCCACATTTCTGGGTGACTTTTTTTCTCGACATGTTGTTTGGCATGTGCATTTGGCCTTGATCCTATTTGGATTTGGTCAGGGTTACCTTACTGAACAAGAAGCAGGAAAGAGTGCACAAAAGTCAGGTGCAATGCATTAGGTGTCAGTTTCTAGGAAGCCGAGTCATGCTTGTCTGGACAGACAAAGTCATCCATTGTTCATTGTGGTAAAAGGAGTTGACTAACCCAGAACTGCAGTCTAGTACATGTACTGATGTCTTGATTAAAAAAATTACATGGTTAAAATGTCAAGTAAACAATTTGATCAGCCACACTTACTGTCGGGGATTAGTTTTTAAGTGTTTTTATGAAATTAACTTTACAAATGAAAATTTACAAACTGTTAGAAAACGTCTGGAATTCTGGTGACTTCATGTTTGGAAATGAATGTACATTTTCTCACACAGGGACTTGAACATGTCAGAGTTTGTTTGTGACCCCAAAGCTGACCCATATGTCTATGACCTCATTGCTGTTTCCAACCATTATGGAGGAATGGGCGGAGGCCACTGTAAGTCTCTCTGTTTGCACAACTATCCCATTATGAGATGACGTCCTTACTATTCATATGTCCAGTTATATATTAACAATCATATTAATACATAACTTGTATAACTGGGTCGTCTCACAGGTTGTGTCAGCAGCCTTTTATTTTCCCTTTATCACCTTCACTTGTTCATTTTTGCAACCTAGCTTGGTTTATCTCACGTTTAATGCATTACTACAGAAAGTATAACAGAGTTGATCATTTATGTCTTTGTCATTATATTGCTGCTTGGAAATGATAGCTTGGTTTGTTTTTGATTGCCAAAGTTCAGCTGTTGACAATTACATTTAATTTTCTTTTGCAGACACGGCATACAGCAAGAACAAGATGGATGGAAAATGGTATTACTTTGACGACAGCAGTGTGTCGTCTTCAACTGAGGATCAGATTGTGGTGAGACTACTACGCATTCCATTTTATTAAAAGAAATGCCAACATTTCCAGACTCAAAAAGCGTTCCACAGTGGTTAAAGGGATAGTTCACCCAAAAATGAAAATTTGATGTTTATCTGCTTACCCCCAGGGCATCCAAGATGTAGGTGACTTTGTTTCTTCAGTAGAACACAAACGAAGATTTTTAACTCAAACCGTTGCAGTCTGTCAGTCTTATAATGGAAGTGAATGGGAATCACGGCTTTGAGAGTAAAAAACCCTTTAATGAATCTGAAAGAGCCGTTTTCCAATATAGAAATTGGGAATTGGCAATTGCTGGTTTGTACACTGACTCTTTTTTGTTGTTCTCCGCAGACTAAAGCAGCCTATGTGCTCTTTTACCAACGCAGAGATGCAGACACGCCGTCCAAATCCACCCCCTCCGCATCACCAGGTGGCGCTCCAGAGACCCTGGATGACCACATGGACACCAACTGAGTTTCTTTTAGTCTTTCGATGACTGGCACTGAAACAAAAACGACATAAAGATGAAATCATCAATGCATCAACGCACATCCCTGGCTACTTCAGTGACTATTAAAGGCTCACAAACAGGCCCTTTGTTTTTAGCTTTATTTTAATTTTTTCTTTCTTTCACACATGCGTCTTTATCAAGAGCCAAAAAAAGAATATTAATAATAAATAAAGAGAATTTTAGTTTGAAGCGTGACATGAAAGACTTTATTCTTGGACCTTGATGCCTGCTGATCATAGAAACTAATTTCTTTTAGTCTGAAATGAGAATGAGGGTGAAACGGCAATATAACCTCTCTTTGGACGACATGAATGTTAGATGAACTAGACCAGGAGAGGGGAAATGCCTAGACATAGACTATGTATGCAACATTACGCTCATCTGAAATGTTTAAATTATGCCTCTACCCACTTACGTTGGACTCTAGCTATCAGCATCTTGTAACTTGTGCCTCCTGTGAAGAATAGACTCTGTGTTTAATAACCTAAGCGTATGGTGATAAGCACAGAGATTCTCTCGGAGAAGCTTGTGCTCTTATATTAAATATTGTCTCCATGTTTCGTTTATCCTATCACAAGCCACACTTTTTGTTAAAAATATACCATGCCGGAGAGTGAAATATTTCACTTTATTATCATGTTGATTTTGGGGGGTGGGCTGCTCTCTAATATACTACACTAACAGCCTTTTATGCCCCAAAAACTGAAAATGGAAGCTTACGAAAATGATATGTGGAATAATGTAAGTCACAGTTGTGCTCAACGCAATTCCGAAGCATTTTTTTTATTTTTTCAGATATGATGGTTTGTGCTTTGTAATAATCTATTTTTTATTTGTTTGTTTTTTTTTCCGGTGGATTTTTCTGCTCTCTAAATGGCTTCAGTCCAGAGGAGTATCGAAAGTGGTGCTAAATTTATGACCCTTGAACAGGTACAAGTACATGGCAAAGAGGAACATAAAGAATGGCCGTTGTTTTAATTAAGAACAACCTTATAGACAAAGAATATCTTTTATTATTACTTGTAGATTTACATGGGCACATCTGCCATGTGATCAGTTGTGGCATTATGTGTGTCAGATGGCTTTAGCAACAACTCAAAGCTCAAAAGACAAGTGCTTCATATTGCTAAGAACATAATACAAGAAACATATTATTTTTTTGTGTGTGGCAAAACGGCATGCAATTTTTGAATCTGCAAAACTAGATGGTTGATTCTGGTGTTTACCTTTCTATGGTATTAGCAGTCATTGATGGGTAAATCCACTATTGTTATTTATGGATCCAGCTATAAAACGTAAGACACCAAACTGATCATTGACTCAAGCTGCCCCCCTGCAGCGCCTTCATTAGTGAAATGTCTATTTAAACATTTTTTTTGTTTTTGTAATTTCATAGACCTTTCTTGCATAGATGTACATAATCATAATCTGGGGCACAGTACATAGCTGCTTTGTGTTCTGCTATTTATCATGCCAACATGTGCAACACCAGATTTTGATTAAAGCCTATTTGAATTGAAAATATAATAAAATGTGGAAGCCTGGTTATAGATAATGGCTTTGTTTTTTCTTTTCTTTTATAACATTAAGAAATCAATTTGCATCAGATGATTTATGAATCTGTCATATTCTTCAGGATCAGTCAAAAGATTCCACAAACCTACCCATCATTCGTTATTGCTATTTTATATTATTTCATGGTGGAAAATGGCATTGGTTTTGGCTGTTGGAAATGGAAATGGATGTATGAATGTTTACATAATTTTTTTTTAATAATGTGTGGATTTAGATATTTTGTTATGTGTATTGAATGATTTCAGGCAACTATAAACACTACCAGTAAAATATTTTGGAATAATGAAGATTTTTAAAATAATGCTCGCCAAGCCTGCATTTACTTGATAAACAGTAAACAATAATGTTACAATTAAAATAACGGTTTTCCTTTTTTAATATATTTATTCATTAAATGGAAATGGATGTATGAATGTTTACATAATTTTTTTTTAATAATGTGTGGATTTAGATATTTTTGTTATGTGTATTGAATGATTTCAGGCAACTATAAACACTACCAGTAAAATATTTTGGAATAATGAATATTATTTAAAATAATGCTCGCCAAGCCTGCATTTACTTGATAAACAGTAAACAATAATGTTACAATTAAAATAACGGTTTTCCTTTTTTAATATATTTATTCATGTGTGTAATATTTGTGTGATTTTTGTGATTTCAAAGTTGATTTTATAGCAGCCATTAATCTGGTCTTTAGTGTCACATGATCCTTTGAAAATTATTTTAATATGCTGATTTGGTGGTCCATAATTATATATTTTTTTCAAAATAAATATAAAACGTTTTTTTTGTTTTTGTTTTTGTAACTGCAGTGGGAAATTCTACTCCCGCCTCACACACCCACACTAGAGATAAGTTTCCACTGGAACTCATTAATATAGAATGAACCTCTTCAAAGCACCTGATGATCAGTACTGTATTACACAACAGATAAAACCCTAAGGGAAATGAATGAAGGAAATCTTGAAACTTGAGTAAGGAAACATTTATTGGTTCAAACTGCATGTTGTGCCATCCAAGAGCTAAATGAAACTGTTCAGTTAGGACTTCTGCACGGCATCAGATGCTCCCCACAGACAAGCATGTTTACAGGAGCACCTTCATGAAGTAAAAGTCCAAACACAGCAACATCATGCATATGAGAGCACAACCTGTCATGAAAACCTATTGGAGATCCATATAGGGGAAGGTTTGCAATGCAGAAGCTGGATTATTACTTTATTTTGACACCCAAACCATTTTAGTTGGCTACGCTGAGAAGTTTCTTGATGTCTCCTTCAATGTTGCTGGTCAGGTATCTCCTGCTGTAGCGTTTGAATGGCACTCCATCAGATCCAATGAGAAACTTCTCAAAATTCCAAGCGATGTCATTTCTGCACACAGGACTCCACACAATAAATTTGGGGTCGTTCATGAAGGGCATTGGCTCATCGCTCGGGAATGGAAGTTTCTCCTTGAGGAAGACGAAGAGAGGGTGAGTGGCTTTCCCGTTCACGTCAACCTTCTCCAAGAGCTGGAATTTAGGTTCAAAGCCATTGCCAGGACGGACAAACTTCAAGGACGGAAGGATCTCTTCATTTGTACAGTTTTCCTACCAAAGCAAAGCAAAATAAATAAATAAGCAACATAAGCATAAAGACATTTGAACAGGTATTCCAGTAATAATTTGCAATAGCATTGATTATTATGTCTTTACTGAACAATAATTAGGCAGTGAAGTATGAGAGGCTCTTCTAAATTAAGAATACAGTAGAAGGGTTGAGTATAGTCATGGCTGATGGCTCATTATTATATATTAAAAGTAAAAATTATACAAATAAACATATTAGAGAATAATAGAGAATAATACTAAACCATACTAAAATACTAAATCAAAGGAAAATCATTTTGAAAGAGTGTTGCTTAATATGCACATACGTGGTCACTTTTTTTATATGTGGTTACTTAATTTAAATTGATTTGATTTGACTTTGATTTGGTAAATTTTATAAACACAAAAGCAAATTTTATATAACTCATTTTATATAATTTTATGTGTGTTGCTTTGGTTGTTGAGTCTCTTGTATATACTGTATTACCAACATATTAATAAGAAATCCTTTACTTAGCTATTTAGTAAATTTGGTACATTTCATATACATAAAAGCAAAATTGAAACAATTGAGTTTTGCTTTGGTTATTGACTTTTACATATACTATTTAAACAATATTTTAATAAGAAATCTAAATCTATAATTTAATGAAATATAGCTTATATTGTTTAATTATTTATAAAAAATAAATGTATTATTATTATTATATCTTAAACTGTAACCACATCTGTGTACTATGGCTGTTTGTTTATTGTTCTTTAATAAAAAAAAATAAAAAAAGGCTACAGTATCAACATCCAAAACCAGGACTGATCTGTTTTATAATACTTCATAAAATAATATAATAATATTTATTATATCAGTAATTATGTAAACTACAATTTCTTGATATTTCAATTTTAATGTAAAGTAGCTATTCATTAATCTCTTGATTATTGACTTAAAAATAAGTGTTACTTACGTTTTTTAATTTAGGCTGCCCTTATTTTATACAGATGAATTATCATACATAAAAACAGCAGGTCATGACAGAACGAGTGCGCCAAAAGCACAGGCACCTGTTCGGCAGTGAAGGGCTATTGAATCAAACATAGAGTTTACTGTAGTCATCTTACCTGATAGCCGAACTGATTGCAGGGAACTCCCAGAATCACAAGCCCTTTATCGGAGAAGCGTTCGTGGAGCTCGTTCATCTGGATGTAATCCCTGGTGGTCGTGCCTCAAAGAGAAGCGACATTCTCGATCAAGACCACCTTGCCCTGGAAAGAAGAAAACTTTAACTCCTCACCAGTAAGGGTTTTGGCTGTGATGTCGTAAAACGATTTTATTCCAGCCATGTTTACTCCCACACCGTTGTCTCGCAGATAACTAATACAGAACAGTGACGTCCACAGAAACTAGGAAAATGACACTTGTATAAAAACGGATAAATGTGGGCGGTGTGCTATGCAGCGACCAATCATGGCAAGACATTCCACGCCTACTTTTAATACACGCCCATAAAAGATCAGAGAGTGTCAACAAAGTGTTACGTTTACTGCTTAATGGTTGAGAATGTTTATCTTCTTATCTGTGGGTCTGTTAACGTGCTATTTGATGTATTTCGCATTTTTACACTCAAGACAGATATAGACAGATATAGTTAATAATAGACAAAAACATACAGTAAATTCCCAAAACTATTCGTACATCAATACAGAATTAAGAATTTTACCACGGTCCCTAGATTTTACGAAACACTGGCGCGGGAAGCTTTTCGACAGACTCGTCTTTTAGCCTGTTTACGAAAACATACATTTTATGCTCAAATCTAAATGTAATCAGCGTTTATTAATATAACATCTAAATTACAAACGTTTAAGATCAGAATCGCGGGGAGTAACGTTAAGGTAAACACTTCTGACCACACCTTGTCTCAAATACGGTAATTTCGTCGAGTTAGTCGAATGTGTAATTTAGCTCTTGCGTCATGAAATGATTGTTTACCATCTTCAGAGATGGATTTTGGGATTGTTTGAACCAGAATTGTCATTATTGAACTGTCAGTTGTGTGTGTGATTTCATCTAACTCATGTGAAATAGCTGATTTGTTGTAACCCCAACAGGCAACATCTGTTATCAATTCAATCTTATCGGTTCTTCTGATCTGAGTTGAAGATGATGCGTAAAAAGAAGCGCTCATCCATCACTGTCGATGACGATTCCACACTTGACGTTCCGAGTAAGTTCCTGATGACGTCACTTCTAAAATAACTCGGGAATGTCTAAAGTCTTTGTACGTTTGGTGTAGTTAAAAAATATATATATTATTGGACTATTGATGCGTCTTCATTCATACAGAGTCAAAAAAGACCAAGAGCAGTGGACGACCCACAAAGTCTTCAGCACAGGACTTGCACCCGGACTCAGTTTTTGTTCAGTTTCTGAAGGAATCTGGTGTCACTTTGAGAGCTGGCAGTACAGCTAATGAAATTGGTAAGATAAAGAATGAGAAAGTGTGTATTGAATACAATAAAGGTGAAATCATAGGTGAAATCACAATGCATGCATGCACGTTCATATCAATTAACACATTATTTTTACATTTTTATTTTATTATTATTATTATAATAATACACATTATATTTACACATTATTGCATTAATAATACACATTATTATTATTTTTTACAGCTGTAGACCAAGTAATATTTCAAAAGCGGCTCCAGCAGCGTCTACGAAAAAATCCTAGATTCCCCAATGTGAGATACAGCTTATCATCATATCACTTTTTTTTTCTTTTCACAAAAGAAGCTTACTCGAAATATGTTTACATTGTTAAATGGCTGTTTTATAGATAATCCAGGAATTTATATCTGCACTGGAAACATACATTGAAGACCCAGAGAGATTCAGAAACTGCCTGCTACCTTGTGTGCCATCATCCTCTTCACAGCAGGATACCAAGTAATGCACTGATTCTTGTTTTCCCATCTGAAACATTACAAGAATACATTACTTTGTTTTATGCAATTGTTTTATTACTCTTATATACTCTTATTTGTCTTTTTTGTTTATTTTTCCTTTAATGTCAGTTCTGGCTCCTATCAGGAAAGTCTTGTACGCTTGTTGCTTGGAATAGAGATGCTACAGGTAAACATATCAGCTCAATTTACATCTGAAAATACAAAGCAATAGAAAATTAAGATATATATTATTTTCCTTTTCCAACATTTAGACTGGTCTGAATCCATTATTTTTTCATTCATTATTGTTATTTTATTTTATATTATCTGATTATATAATAATATATATATATAATGTTATATTATTTTTCTTGATATTGTTTTTATAAATTATTCTCTATTATATATTATATTATTTTTCATAATATTATTTAAAAAATGCTTATCCATTATCCAATGATTAGATTCATGGAAAGTCATGGAAATTAATTGGTCCAAAAAAAATTTGGGGAATATAATATATATATATAAATGTTTTTTCTTCTTTTTTCTGCATTTAGACCCTGATCATAAACATTTTGTTCGAAAAGCTTCCAGAATTCATGTTTGAGGGGTAAATGTCTTTTTGATTATTTTTTTAATACACATCACTTTAATTACAGACACAGTCCTGTAACATTCGCTCATCACTGACGCTGACAGTAATGTGCTCTGTTACAGTGTAAGAGAGGATGGCCTCAACGTTCCCCGTCTCATAATAAACCAGTTGAAGTGGCTGGACCGAATTGTAGATGGCAAGGTACTCAGTCCACTGATAATGTTGATGTGAGAAACCTGCATGATGACAATGTTCCAGTGAACATCATAATTGCCAACAGTTCCTTTGTAACTAAAATAAATGTTTGTCATAGCCAAATTGTGGCATTGCCGTGACCAGTGTTTGACTGGTGTCTGACTAATTGCTGTGTACGTGTAGGATTTGAGCAGTAAGCTGATGCAGATGGTGTCTGTGGCTCCAGTGGAGATCCAGCGAGACATTATTACCAGCCTGCCTGAAATCCTGGAGGATTCCCAGCATGGAGACACGGCCAAAGAGCTGAAGTACGTCAACAGTAGCTGCGCCTGCTGTTTTTTGTGCCATTTCCCAATGCATGAAATTAAAGTTGTGTTGTTTTGACCTATGTTTGGTTTAGTAATTATGGCTAGCTGTGATGGTAATGTTGACTATGATTATAATGTAGATACTTATTATCATTGTGTATGTTGTGTTTAAGTGAGTCTGTGTTTGTGTCTGCTCTCTTGTGCAGTGGTTTACTTCAGCAGAACACTCAGCTCGCTGTGCCTATATTGGATGCTTTATCCAGTTTGAATCTGAGCTCTGCGTTACTGTCCGAGGTACTTCTAAACATGCAAATATGTTCCCTAAAAATATACTCCAGTCTTATAATCCTCCAAAAATCATTCTAATATGCTGATTTGGTGTTTAAGAAACACTTATTATTATTATCAATGTTGAAAACAATTTCCGCTTAATATTTTTGTGCATACTCATACATAATTTTTTGAAGATTATTTGATGAATAAAAAGTTTAAAAGAACAGCATTTATTAGAATTAAAAAAAAATATATATGTTTATGTAAAAATCACTTTTTATCATTTTAAAGCATCTTTGCTGAATAAAAATATTAATTTATTTTGCCATTTAAATTGTAGTGTATACTATTAAAAATCCTCCGTCTTTCTCTCTGTCAGGTTCGTGAGGCAGTAATGGGAACTCTCTCTGCTGTGCAGTTAGAGGATCTTCCTGTTGTAGTGAAGTTCATCTTACACTCCATCTCTGCATCTGGTCCTAATGAGGTCAGGCCTCTAAACTGACCTTTGTTTATGACAGTTTTTTTATTTCTGGTCATGAAAATGTTCTTTCTCTGATAGACAATTTTAATCAGTTTCCTATTGCTGTAGAGCTGTAGTTATGCTCATGTCCATTCATGCTCCTCAGGTGGTGTGTGACCTGCGTAAAAAGCTTGAATTGGAGCAGTGTGTCTTGCCAGCTGTGCTGCAGGCCTCCCAGAGTCGTATGAAAAGCAAAGCCGTGTCAGGGTGAGACTTTTTCCTGCTTTCTCTTGAGTGAAATTCTATCTTCATCTATTTACTCTCATCCATCCCTCCCAAACCCATATGACTTGCTTTATTCCTGGGAAGACAAATAAGAAGTTGGGAATATGTCCAGTTCTGCTGGCCATGTTCTGTCTTGTTCTTGATTTTAATGTCACTGCTCGGGTCCTCCAGTGTCCCATCATGCAGCAATGGTCAGGATAGTGTGGCTTTGGTTCTGGATGTCATAAAGTCAGCTATCCGCTTTCAGAAGACCATCTCAGAGGCTTGGCTAAAAGTGAGTTGAGAGTTCATATATTTTCTTGATAGCTGTTTCGTTTGCCTTTCTGCCTTCAAGCACTAGGTACTATATTTCCATGCAACTGAAGTTATTTCATTACTGTTCAAATGTTTGATTTTCAGGCCATAGAGAATGTTGATGAGTCAGACGACCATAAGGTTTGATTGATTTCTATCAAAATGTTTTTATGCGATTCCCATTAGATTGACACATTACGTATCTGAAAATCCAAATGCAAGAATTAACTTAACTTGTTGTCTCTCAGGTGGTTGATCTGTTGGTGCTGTTCATCCTTCACTCCACTAATGCAAACCACAGCCGGCGTGGGGCGGAGAGAGTGCTCAAGGTCAAAGTTCGCAAGGGTCTGATTCAGGAAAGTCTCTTGCAGAAGACCTTTAAGGGTCATGCTCAGGTATGCTTTCATTCACATGCTTGTGACTTAAAGGGGTCATATGATGCGATTTCAAGTTTTCCTTTCTCTTTGGAGTGTTAAAAGCTGTTCTTGCATACAGAAGATCCCTAAAGTTGCAAAGACTAAAGTCTCAAACCCAAAGAGATATTCTTTATAAAAGTTAAGACTCGTCCACGCCCT